AGATGGAGATGGAAGAAGGCATGGCACACGAACAGATTCAGAGGAAGCAGATGGAGATGGAAGAAGGCATGGTACACGAACAGATTCAGATGAAGCAGATGGAGATGGAAGAAGAAGCAGATGGAGATGGAAGAAGGCATGGTACACGAACAGATTCAGATGAAGCAGATGGAGATGGAAGAGGTTGCTGGTGACAGTAATGGATGCCTGCACGTCAAACAGCAACCTAGTCTGCAAGCGAGGGCCGTCTCCAAAACACCCCGCAGAAAGTGCGCAAAACTCACTGCCAATATCGTATCTTTTACGCTTGGACTAACCTTCCTAGTTATGTCCATCTTGTATGGACTGAGCCTCACTAAGGAATCGGCTATTCTTGTCATAGAGGGCGTGGGAATCGCACTAGCCATTCACATGTTCGTGTTTGAGCCTTTGAAACTAGTTGTGGTATCTATTTGTATAAGATGCACGCGTGGAATAGACTCCGATGTAAACAGTGGTGAAAGAATGAGTGTATAGTTTACTACCATTCACCAGTCTGATATCCATATTTCAGCAATGCCGTTTTACGCTCTGGTAATAGCATTGTCATCTTAGGCAATAGGCGGCAATGTTATACGACTGTTTTAGCCGGTATATCTACCTTATTTGCGAAGCTACTCAATTTTGCTTATCGTTCTGCAGTTGTAGCACAACCACAAGATCATTCGAAGTAATCATGGATATTACTGAACTGCTTGCCAATTTGAAACTTTTTAACTTGTTGTGATGCCAATCTGGGTAATACTCACTGACAGAAATGTCAGCGTTACAAGCAGTCGTGGTATCATGAAAGTATAAAAGAATTGGCTATTTGGTTTTAGCTAGTACCAATCTCACCACTAGTTTTCTATAAGCTGATTAATTTTTACAAATATTCTACAGTTGCGGCATGCCTATCGTAAACTTACGAAGCCAGTTATGCACGTATCCAAGCAATTACGGGTTTTTCTACCTAAATATTTTTTTTGGCATTTAATAATATTGGTAATAACATCACCAATTATAATATTGTGGAAAAACTATTTTAATAAATAAAATTATACTATTCCTTGCATAAAACGTAACAAATTTCTTGCCGTCGTTCTTCGTCTACATCATCGCATGGCTTAAATTTTGGGTTATCGTTATATGGATTTTAATTTATTGAGACATTCATTTATTGAAAAAACGAATGATTATTATCAACCAAATTCATAAACAGGGGATAACTAATGCCTCATAACAGGAATGCACGCTGGTCAAAAACAAACTAGTAATGCATATACTCACCGATAGAGGTCGCAAGCATACTGTTAGCAAAATCTATACGGAGAGTGTAAAGTTGTAGGCCTACGGCTTTATACGCTCTGATACATGGGTGAAATTCACCAGCAGATGGCGTCCTGAATAACAGGACTGAATAATCTTGACCAAAAATTAACTGAACATATTTTCAAAAAAAGATTCAGTACATTCATAACATACACTTCATTTGCGCTAAATGACTGCACATTAAATATGAAACCGCACCCGAAACCTTTGCCAGCGACATGATGCACATTTCTGGTAAAAATCTACTTTTGTGTGCCACCTATATAGTACTTGTCAGTGATGTATCGGCACGTAAGCTCTAGAGTTCGTTATATGGGGGAGGGGTGTTCTATATAAAAGACTGCATTCTACCCTAACGCTTTCTTTTGCATTTAACGAGATATAACCACCATCAATTATTCACACGTGTGTATTGGCAAACAAAATTAATCTATATAGGTTTGCACGGTGCTATCTCCGAGAGGTTTGCTGAGTAACGTATAAGCGCGCTATTAATTTCCGAGGCCGCGAATACAAGCAGCGAGATTTTCCGCCCAAGTGGCTTCAGCGTTTATTAATAAGCCGCAGGAATTGTTACTGGAGATCGTTTCTCCATGTAAGACAAACAAGTTTTATCCTACGCGATTAAAACTTGACGAATCGTGACGCTTTGTTTAACTCTCACACACCGATGCATGTTCGCAGACCTTAAAACGACGCCTCGTCATCAGAGAACGGCTGCGAAATGTACGAATGCATATATAAAAAGAAAGCGGACAGGAAAAGGAAGCCGGCCATTACGACACTCCGACACGGTGTTGTAGGCGGAGAAATCAGACACGTTCGCTAATCTAATTTGCGGAGTGCGAAGTTGATGTGCAAGACGCGCTGGTTCCCGACGCGTTTACGACGTCTACGTGAAGCGATTACAGGCAAATCACGCAGACAGCGAGGTCATATGCATCTGCGGGAGAGCATTCAAAGACATAGAGCGTCACGCTGGGAGCATCTTAACAGGTTATAAGAACGGTTTGATGAGTGCGCGAGTGGGTGGGTGGGTGAGTGAGTGAGTGAGTGAGTGAGTGAGTGGGCGGTGGGCGGGTGGGTAAGTGAGTGAGTGAGTTGAGTAAGTTTGATTGAGTGAGTGACTGAGTGAGTGAGTGCGTGCGTGCGTGCATGCGTGAGTGACTGACTGAGTTAGTGCCTGCGTGCGTGCGTGCATGCGTGAGTGACTGACTGAGTTAGTGCCTGCGTGCGTGCGTGAGTGAATGACTGAGTGAGTAAGTGAGTGCGTGCGTGCATGCGTGAGTGAGTGAGTGAGGAGTGACGTGATGATTGAGTGAGTGAGCTGCTGAGGATGAGGAGTGAGTGAGTGAGTGAGTGATGATGAGGATGATGAGTGAGTGAGTGAGGGAGTGAGTGAGTGATGAGTGAGTGAGTGAGTGAGGAGTGATGAGTGAGTGAGTAGTGAGTGCAGTGAGTGAGTGATGCGGAGTGAGTGATGAGTGCGTGAGTGAGTGAGTGAGTGATGTATGTGAGTGATGAGTGATGGAGTGAGGGATGAGTGAGTGAGGAGTGAGTGAGGATGAGTAGTGAGTGAGTGAGTGAGTGAGTCAGTGCGTGAATTCAGTGACTGAGCGGTGGGTGGGTGTTTAAACACATGCCAATGGAGTAGGGGGCGACCAGCGAGCCGAGCGAGCGAACGAGTTAGGAAGTACGCACTGGTTATCACCATTAGAGCACCTCAACCGTGTAGTACTGCCCTCTCACCCTGAGGCTATTGTGTTTCACGTGATTGGCACCGGCAACAGACAAGTTCTTCTCACCTGGGCAGTCAACACAGGTTGCTGTGGCTGTCACGCACTCGCTAGCCAATGATAAACAGATCTGATTCTTTCACGTTGAATTCCTGCGCGTGCAGTCAATATATAATAGCACTTCAACTCATCTCTAACTTCGCGTGATGGTTGGTGGCATTGAAATTGAAAGCTTTGTGAAAATGATTAGTCGCCAGTGGGCGCTTTTACGCGCGCCAATAAACGTATTAATATCGCGAATAGGCGCTTTCATCGAGAAATCCCGTGTGCGCCGCTGTGCGCGCAGGGCGTAGAATCGGCGAAAATATAGCGAAACGTCATCATCGGAGAGATTTTGCCGCGTGGCCCTTAAATCACTGTTAAACCCCGCGGAAGGCCATTAGCTGCTGCGACGGCTGCTGCTTCCCGTGTGTGCGATGTGTATGATATCGAGACGGGGGAAACAGCGGCGGTGATATAGGTATAGCGGACAATGGAATGGATACCTCTTTATATTATTCATCGCTGACAATATAAACACGCACGCACACGAGAGAAAGCGCGAGAGAAAGCGTCTCATCCACGTTCCGGTTACGCTCAGGTGCCCGCCAGCCTGCCCGCATGCATTTCTGCTGTAGTTCTTCTTCTCGCACTGCGGGCTATTAAGATATATGCGGCTATTAGTTCCAGCTGGCTGCGCGCCTTACGCGTCGACGCTATCTCCGAGATTCGTCGGTCGCGGAGGAGATTCCAGAGAGCCGACGCAGAGAACAAACAGCGTGACATGCTAATACCCCGGGACGCACCGAGCGTGGCTCTCTCATTGAATTCGAAATTCCCATTTCTGCTAGCTCTTCCCCCCGCGTGGCGCGTCGAGACTCTCATTTAAATGCAACCCGAGCGCGCATAAACACTCTACGGGGGTGCCGACGGCACTCGAGGGAGAGGGAATGGGTGAACGAGAGGGTGAGAGAAAGAGGGCGAGAGGAGAAGAGGGAGGGGGGGAGTGATAAACAGCAAGAGACGGTGAGGGAGGGGTGACAGAGCAACAGACACACAGAGAAAAAGATAGGGAAGGGCAGAGACAGGCACAGTGACAGAGCCACACGCACACGCCCATGCACACACACGGAGGATCGACGCACGCACGCACGCACGCACGCACGCACGCACGCACGCACGCACGCACGCAGAACGCAATGTACACTGCGCATGCACACACATACACACACCACACACTACACCATCGCACGCACGCACGCGAGCACGTACGCACGCTCACGGCACGTCTGACGCACGCACGCACAGCCGCGCACTGCACGCATGTTACACACGGCCGCACACCAACACTACACACACACCACAACACCACACAACACACACACATCACACACACCACACACAACAACAACAACACACACACACACCACACACCCACGACACAACCACACAACACACACAACACATCACACACACACACACACACCACACACACACACACACACACACACACACACACACACACAACAGACACACGCGCGCACACACGCAAACGTACACAAACAGGGCAAGTGAGCTAGCGAGAGGTAGAGAGAGGCGGAGCAGAAAAGGGAGGAGAGGCAGATACAGAGCGAGAGAGCGAGAGGGCGAGAGAGTGTGAGATAGACGGTCTCAAGACACCCTAATGCTTTATTCAATAATGCTCGTTCTCTCTTTGGTGTACGCATGGATGCGGGAAGGGAGCGGTATATCGCGACACCCCCTATCAACCCTGCTATAGTCCGTGCGACCACAGCCTCTGGATCTGCCGCTATAGCTGCTGCCGTCAGACGATGCCAGCGCGTGGCTTGCCAGCCCGTGTATTTTAGTTTGAGTGCTAGGCCGTGGCTGCTGGAATACTGCGCTGAGCCGCCCATGCAGAGCGTGTATAGGAGACAAGCTGCAGCTGATCGTCTGCTAGCCACGTACGACGCATCGTGTAAGCCCGGCGACAAGTGTATATGCTGCCACGACGCTACCGCGACGCTGCCGCGACTTGGCTTGACGCTGCCGTGACTCTACCGCGACGCTGGCGTGACGTTGTCGTTCAATTGTCGTAACGCGGGTGCAACATTACGTGACGTTGTTGTTAAATTGTCGTGAGACTGTCGCAACTTGACGTGACGTCATTGTGCTACCGTACAAAGCAGGAACACAGAGCATAGATGAAGGGCCGACGTTGTCGACAAACATGTGTGTAACGACAATTGGAATTGTCGTCGTTGTTACCGGAGAAACGGACATCGTTCGCGACGCCGACAGAGCATTGAGATGTGCTGCACAGCGACGTGCCGTAGGGTTTTAAGTGACGCACTCGCGCATGCGAGAAGGTGTTGACGCACCCGCGCACGCACTCTGTTTTACACGCGCTCGCCTATACATACGTACGTACGCACGCACGAATACACGCACACCCACGCACGCACTCTCTCTTTCTCATACCCGCCTAATAAGAACGAGTACACGCACACCCACGCAGGTAGACACGGACGGACGCACGCACACGCACGCGCATGTACACGCGCGCACGCATGCACGCACGCCTGCTGTCGTGCCGAGTGGACTTGCTGCTTTCCGAAACAGCTTTTTACTGGAGACGACACGTTTCGCGTTCTGCTACAGATGGGAGCTGGCATCGGATCGAAGTGTGAGCCTTCACGATTAGATTGCAAATGCCTTGGACGAATTTGTGCGCATACGAGCGAACAGAACTCGCACGAGAGGGAAAAAGAGAGCGCGGGGGAGAGAGATAGGTTGCTAGAATCTCACACGCGCGAACACACGCACACAAATCGCAGAACGCAAGGGAATGAGTAGCAGAAGTTGGTGAGGAGACGTATTACACCCCGGCTATGAGCAGCGGAGACGTCAAGGAACCCGCACTATACTTCACCGACGTCAAACTGGTGAGTTGAACACATTGAGCTTCGCACAACATTCATGTTCTCATGCGGGCTGCGTTGTCATTGACTGATACCGACATAATTCCCGAGAACGGCTCTGTACAGATGCAAACGGTCCGAATAAATCCCGGTGTCTCGAGGGTTTGAGCATTTCAATTCGAATATTAATTCGATAGATATACTGTATATTCGACATCGGGAGACCGGAAATTCAGATCGGTTCGAAAAACTTCGCGTTGCGAAGTTGCGAGACGATTGAATATATTAGCGATTAACCCCGCCGTCGTGAGCGATATAAATTACGGTATAGTCCCGCTGAAAGAAGAAATACGCAGATTCTCTCTGAGTGCCGATCCCTTAGCCTCCTCCCGTACGTGGCACGGGAGCAACTATACTACTTACTACGTACCCGACTGATTCCCATGCTAGAGCAACTACTGCGTACTACCAAACCGATTCCCATGCTAGAGCAACTATACTGCTTGCTACCCAACTGATTCTCATACTAGACTTGGACGCATGTGGAGAAAACTTAAAACTTAAACGGCACAAATCAATGCTGGCTGTAGATACCCGACGAGGCTCTCCCCGGGTAGCGTTCGATAGCAACGTTTCGGCCGGCAACGCACCACAGCAACGACCGCCGCAGCTTCTTCCTCATCCTGGAAGATGCAAACATCTGCGCTGACGACTCTGTTTTAACGCGTCGTGTAATTGTAGAACGGCGCGCCGCGAAACATTCGCGCAAAAACGAGAGAGGGGAACACTGTCCATGTTAATTATATTTATGCTCTAGCTCGACGCTGCGACATTGGCGGTATTATCTATAGCGGCTACTGAAGAATGCTGGAGCTTATACTTACTAATCGCAAGCTGCGAAAATGCCGCCATGATCTGTGAGCCAGTCTGGCGATGTTCGTTTGTAGCAAGTGATCCTCGTTATCACGTTACTAGCGAAGACGTACGCAGCGTCAGAGACGCCTCGTGTGTATGAATGCGCGAGTGCTTGTATGTATGTAGACACTATGTATGTAGATATGTGCATATGATACCACTATTATGTGTGCGTGTGCCGCGCGAGCGTGCGTGCGTGCGTGTGCGTTTGCGTGCGTGCGTGCGTGAGCCACTGTGAACGCTGTAAGTACTTGTCAAGCTTGAAACACGCTATTGTAGCTATAAACAAGAAATGGATGTAATTATGCGCACGGCTTCCAATGCACGCGCTGGCAGTCTCGAATGGCCGCCATAGAATAGTCTGCAGAAATCCATTAATCGTATTTACCCGAGCTGTTACGCGCGCGGGACCTTCGCACTGAATATCCATTCATCTAAATGACATCGGAATGCGATGACAAGATCAAAGACGCACTATAGAACGCTTGCTAAACATTATGAATTTATTAAATATGAGAACATTCAAACGCACGCGCAAA